TATTGTATCACAAAAATCGTGAGATCAACTAATGCATGTACTATTAAGTAATTTGATTCGTTCTATAATAAATTCGATAAATTTTTTTTTAATGTCAAATTGAGGTTTAATGATAATAAACTAAAACTATAATAATATTAATAATATTCTTCTCAATATAGCGGATTTCTTGATGCAGTCAAACCTTGTCACAGCGGATGAACGGGACACATAATAATAAGGGAATTTATTTAAAATTCGTTGAGGCAAGATTGTAATTGCTAATCTTGCCACAACGGATTTTTATATTTTTTATATTAATATGTAAAGCAAAAATTTTAAAAATCCATTAATACAGTCAAACATTGCCCCAAACTATTCGCTAAACCAAGATTGCGTATATTTTTTAAATTTAAAATTTTTTGATATTATTTAGTGATGATGGCCGAAACTATTTTTGAAAAAAAAGGTAGTTTCGCCCAATACATTTAACAAGTATTTAAATCAATTTACTTTATTTAAAAAACTTCAGTTGTGTTTGACTATTACTATCAAAAGTTGAAATTTTTTAATGGCCGTGATTTTTTATTTATAATAATTGTCAAACCCAATCAAAATTAGATTTTATGTGATAATTTGGAATAAGATCGACAAAAAAAAGGCCAATGAAATAGTTGTTTTTGTGATCTGCAGTAGTGTCTACTATGCTAACCCACGGAATTTTGGTTCTTTAAACTTTGATTATGTAAATAGCAATGACGAAATAATTTATGACTCTGAAACAATAATTGATTCGGATGAAACTGAATTATCATCTGACACATCTGATAATGAATCAAATGGTGATGAGACTTTTGAGGATGATTTTAACACAGGTTCACCTTCAATTTTTGATGAAATGATGGCAGCAAGTTCAAGCACCATGGGACCAACAAGCTCTAATTCAAAAAAAACCTCTTGTTTATATTGGTAATTCTGAAGGCGAAAATACATTGCATTAAAAGCTGCTGCTGCAAACACCAATCTATTGGCATCATTTTTTCAAAAAAGATTCTCCAGATGATGTTGTAGTTGATAATAATGATGACCAAATGACTGTTGATTCTTTAGGTGACCTTGGTGAAGTAGAAGTAATTAAAAAATTTTGAGGATGCTTTGTCAACATTATCAGCTCTAGTAAATGATAATAATAATGATCTTGATGTTAAAATACGCATCCAAGCAATGTGCCAATATTTTAAATTACACATTAAAAATTATGGTGCATATGATGCAACCCAAATAATTGCAGAGAGTATTGGTGCAAAATCTTAGCATGCTCGTTTAATTAGAACATGGTCCAATAAATTTCTAAAAGATGGTGTACTCCCCAATTTCAAGAAGAGGAAAGCATCAAAAAATCAAAAGTTTAATGTATAATGAAGATTTTCATGGAATACCTTTTGGTCAAAAAAATGTGATGTTAATGTTAAAGATTTTAAAAACACATTGAAGAAGAAATATTCCCTTCAATTGGAATTGAAGAAAAAAAGGAGATAAGTGAAAACAACTGTACGTGTATGGCTGAGAAAACTTGGATGGACATGAAAGACCTGATGCAATGGCTGCTTTAGGGAAATATTGTCATAATTTAGAAGAGTTGTCATTGAAAAAGGAGATAGCATGTTCTGGTGAGATTTTATTGTCAATTGTCAAAAATTGTCCAAAATTATTTAAATTAGAGATAGAAGGAAAAGATTATAATAATCAGACATTATACAAAATATTGGAACATTGTCCAAATATTTTGACACTGAATATAAATCAATGCATGAATATAACAGATGAGTTGTTAATAGCAACTTACAAATTATGTACAAATTTAAAGAAGTTATCATTTAAAAAGATTTTTGAAATTACTGAAAATTTTGTGATTTCAACTCTGAATCACTTTCCTAGAACCTCAACAATAGTAATTTCCAATATTGATAGAATGTTCCAAAGCAGCATTGAAGTTGATGGGGAAAAAATATTTTTAGTTGCAAATTTGTGTGATGTTGATATTCATAGAATCATTGATTTTTATAGCATTAAAGAAGATGGATTACAAGAATTGACTTTTATTGATGTTAAATTGGATAAATCACTATTGAATTTTATTTGCGTAGAATTGAATGGTTTATCTGTATTGGAATTGTATGGTATTTCTGGATTATCTAAAATGGTATTTTATCTATTTTAATAATCTTGTTCCTGTTATGATAATATTAATATTAATAATAAATGTTTTTGTGTAAATTGTTTTTTAGGATATAATGAATGCCTTGGAAAATTTAAAAGATTTGCAAATATTTACAGTGAAATTTTCATCAGTTGATCATGAAGCATTTTTTGAAAATGATAAGGAACAACTTGTTAAATATTGTCCAAAATTAAAGGCTATAAAATGGCATTTTCAAAAAATATACATCAAAGATAATAATCATGTATTAAAATAAATAATTGTAACATCATGTAAAATTGTTTAATAAATTATATAATGAATTTGTGCAAGGATTCAAAATGTTTCAACACAGAAGTCACATTAAACTTGATAACAACAACAACATTCCAACCCAAAAATATTATTGGCTTAAACTTAAATATTTGATGAATCAAAACAAGAATATATATGTAATCTAAAAAAATCTGTATGAATTGTCTTTTGGAAAAAGTACTATATTCATTTATCCAACCATTATGATTTGACCAAAATATGCTGTTTCTTTTGATGTTGATGGTAGTGAAGTAAGTGCTTTGTAGAGCTAAAGATAAAACCCCATTTTATTCAAAATATAAAGAAAGTATCATTGTAATTATTGAATTATTTTTTGCTATGACTTTTTTTATTAATTAAAAATTCAAAAACAAATATTCTTCTCTTTTTTTTCTCGTTCTTTTTCTTTCATTATCTTCTTTTACACACAAAAAAAAGAACCTAGCAAAAATTATTATTATGGGGAATGCTCACATGATTAGGTCACACACTGTATGCCGCGCATTGCAAGATGATCGACGTAAAAGAAGTTTTTTTTAATAAATTTATAACAATAATAATAATAAAAAGATGACACCTTTAAATAAATCTGTAAGTTTAATATGATGTTTGTTTTAGATCAACCTTTTCAATGAAAGATTCAACATTAGCGATTATAAATATTTACACATCATATTTCATTTCATTTATCTATTTTATGCTTATATTACAATTAATAAATTTTTGTTTAATAGTATCATTCTGAGTTACTTCTACCAATAGAAGCAGATTTTGCGTCTTCAAGTCAAGAAGATGAAGAAGAAATTAATGATAATGATAATGATGATAATGATGATATTAATAATGGAGAAAATTACAATGAAGGTGATGAAATTGATGATGGAGAAGACAATGATGATGATGACAATGATGATGACAATGATGACGACGACGACGATGATGATGATGATGATGATGATGTTAGTGGTGGTAGTAGATTTGAACAAGAACAAATATTTTATGAAAAATATCTAATACTGAAAATTAAACATCAATACATCCAAAAAGAAAATGAGTTATTAGCCGATGAATACCAACTAATCAAAAAGAAATTAAAGAGATTAAAAATCGAAAAGTTTATTTTACTAGATGCTGTTATTTCAACAATTAATAATAATAATAATGACAATAATAATATATGTCAATTAGAAGACTCATGAATCAATGGAAATATAATAAAACTCACCCTTAATTATCACTTTCGATCTGTAATAATCATGTAAATTCTCGGCATTATTGACTTTGAATAAAAAAAACCACACTGCTACTTTTCTTTCATTATCTTTTATTTAGCTAGAAACCATAAAACACATTCACAATGTCTCATATGCTCAAAAATTCTGGTAAAGGATTTAATTAATAAAGTTGTTTAAAAAGAAACAAGTTTTCTTTTTTTATTATTCGGCTCGGAAAAGGATTTTTTCAAGAAAATAAATAAATAAATAAAAATCATATATATTACTTGGGTAAATTTGTTTAAATGATCCGAGACATTCAATTAACGATCAATCAAAAAATGAAATCTTTTATTTTTTATTGCTTTATTTGTTGCCTTTACCCATTATCAAGAAAATGAAGGTGAAAGTAATGAATTTGGACGTGATAGAATTATAAAAAAATCTAAACCATATTACAAAACCAAGTGAAGAGTTATCATTGTCTTCTAATTTGCTGATCTGGAGAAATGTCTCTGGATGTTTGTCAATCATCTGTTCACAAAAATTTGTATCCGACTATTCAATTGCTCAAATACAAATAATTCTGATATCTGGATATTGGTCTATTCACAATTCATACCAAAAAATTAATTTGCATATATATATATATATATTTCAGATGCAGATAGTAGACAACCAATTGGATTTCATTGGAATGAGCGCATTGACTTTAAAAAATACGAAAGCTAGTTCTTATGTTTTATGTGTGATTTAGTTCAGATAGTAATAACTACTGCTCAAACACGACGCGTTTTACACTATGTAATCTTCAACAAATAAATATACCCTGCACGCTAAGTAAAGTGGCTCTACAGTCAAATAAACTCGACTATTTGTCTTTTAAATTTTAATAGAAAATTCGTTGCAATTTTGTACGTATTTGCAAAGAAATTGCAGGCAAACAGACAAAAAGGTTTGTAATTTTTTGCGAGGGGGCTTTTTTTTTTGTATAATTAAATAATCACGGATATCATGATGATAAGAAAAAGTTGGTATAATCTCAATTGCAGTATGCTGTATAAACATCAACCAAAATAAATGATGACAACCAGCCCTTTAATTCGCGATACTTTTAATAATGAGTGATTTTAAAAAAATTAAACCAACCCTTGTTTAATTTCATTAGGTTCGATCATTCGTTATTTACATTACGAAAGCAGGTTGGAGAAGAAACTCTAAACAAAATCAAAAGGTATATATAAATCTTTTTTCTTATCTCCCTATGAAAATTTGCGTAGAAATTCATTCCCAAGGTTCAGTGTTGAACAATTCACCACTCATATCAATTGAAATGTACAAAACGAGAAATACCATATAATGATACCTGGGAATGAAGATGAAGCAGTTAAAAATTGAATAAGGTACGATTCACTCTCTCTTTAATGGATCTTTCTATAATAATCATGGACCGAGAAGTTAAGCCAATTTGTATACATTATTATTGTCTATAACAGATTCTCTATAATGGAACCTTCTATAACGAACTTAAATTCTCAGTCCATTCATTATAGAGCAAGATCCAATTTATATGTTACATATATGTTGTGTGTGAATTCAAATTAGCTATAGTGGTTGTATCCGCCGAATGATATTCACCAATTATCCGGTTAATTGAGTGTTGAAAATTTTCACCGGATGTTGAGCTTTATTGATTGACCAAGTACTCAAACACCCGGATAATCAACGGATACAGCTACTAGCTAATCAGAATTTAATAAAATTTTCATGCACAATAACGGAGAGAGTGAGAACTGTAAATAGGAAAAAATTAATATAATAAATATTTTCTAGAAAACAAAATTTTAGAAAGTGTGATGGAAGTAATGCATGTCTGAGCAAGCAAAACCAATACAAGCCTATTTTTACCAAGAAATATAGATGAGGAGAAGAATAGATTCACTGCTGAAACAATGCTTGCAGATCTAAAACAAAGAGTAGAAGCAGGTGAGTTAGATGCAAACGAGTTACCAACAATAAAAAAATAGGATAACGCATTTAATAGAGAACATAAAAAGAATCGGCTGAAAAAGGATTGGCGAACCATTATTTTGTAAATTCCGGTCGGTATTATGCGTAATAGTAATAATAATAATAATAGTAAAAAAGTTGATTGTTATACCATAATCCCCAATTAAGATTGAAATAGGCAAAAAGGGCTTTGACAAAAAAAATTTGTTTTTGATAAAAATGTTCATAACGAATTAACTTTTGTAAAAGATAAACATATAAACAGCTCGCATACATACACACATGCTAAAATTTACAAGAGTTACTTAGTAATGTCAAGACAGGACTTAAGTAAAAGGTTCAAAAACTAAAAGATAGTAATTTTTTAATTTAAAAGAAAAATAATAATAACTAATAATAATTAATACATAAAAATAATATAATACAATATAAATATGGTAGCTCGTTAACATTATTATGCATGTAACAAAAATTTTATTCCTTGAAAAATTTACTTTGTAAAACAACATCGATTTTAGGCCTACCTACAGGATTGGTCATCCAATTAATTAAGCCACTGGCAATTTCGTTATTTATATCCGATTTAATTTTTTCTTTCATATTTCCCATCATTATTACATCCAATTCTTCTTTGGAAGTATATAAAGGGCGCTTGGTAAGCAGGAAATACAACAAACAACCTAATGAGTAGATATCGTGTAAATAATTTGCTTTAACTTTTGAATTACCGTCACCATCTAATAGTAGTTCTGGTGCTGTAAATCCCAAAGTAAACGGCATATTATTATTATTCGTTGTAGTTGTTGATAATAATGATGATGGTGATGATGATGATGTCGATGGATGATAAATAAACGATGCATGCTTTCGAGAGAACTCACAATCACACAATCTAACACTACAGGGTTTATTATTATCATTTTTACAAATTATATTGGAGGGGTTTATATCCATGTGCTTAATTTTATAAATCGAAAAAAAATCAACAAAAAATAATGTAATAAATAAATAATTCATGTAATCAATTAATAAATAATAAATACTTACAACAATTTCATTTTGATGTAAAAAGTCTACGCATTTACAAACGTTAAAAAATAAATGTTTAATATCTTGCAGATTTTTAAATCTGTCAACAATCATATCCAAACTATTGCCCATGTATGATGTGACTACATAATATTCTTTTTGATGATTCATCTCCTGGCATTTGACAAGATATTCAAAATAATTTTCTATATTCATTAATTTTTTAAACATCCTGACTTCATTCTGCCACCAGACTTGATCAGAAAAAATCTTAATAATGACAATATCATTAGTCTTCTTGATATTCTCACCAAAAAAGATTTTATTTCTCTGATTAAATATTGATGATGATGACTGTTTGGTCATTCGGTTTTTAATAAAATATTTATCCGAGATTGTTTGCTTATCAGCAACGTATGATGGTGATGACCATGGTGATGTAATCGAAGTTGAATAGTTAATTGAATCACGTGATATAAATGAAGGTTCGTAAATATTGCTGCTTCGGTTACTTTTTGTCTCATAATCATCATCAATTAGACTTATTGATGATGAAGAAGTTGTTGTGGGCGATGGCGGGATTGGATAAGAAGATTTAAAAGGAGATGTTACTGCCGTGTTAATTATTTCAATGTTAGAAGCTGAGTCAATTATTTCAATGTTAGATGTTGAGTCAATATTTATATTAGAAAAAACCGGTGATGATGGCAACGAAGGTGATGGAGGAGGTGATAGTGTCAATGGATCGATCGACAAAATTGTATGGAGGGACAATAAAAATTCAACACTTGAATAATCCATTCCTCTTTCTGATAATATAACCGGCCCAACTGCACAATAACCAAGCTTTGTTAAATTGTCCCAAAGTTTCTCTGACTTATCATTAGACGGGCCAATTTTTATTTTATCTGTTGGACATCCCTGACTACTTGAAAGTACACAATATATAGTCAATGTGCTTATTTTGTCGACCAAAAATAAAGAAACTGGTGATTTTAATTCAGACTTAGAGGTTGTCCAGTAATCTTTAGTCGAGTGCTTTTCTTTGTCCAGTTTAAACTCTAAAAAACCAGACATTCCGCACATATCTTTATATTTTAAACCGGTTATTAGGATTATCCCGATCCTTTCCTCCTCTTCGTAAACTCTTTGTAATATGTTCTCGGGTGGCTTATTTTCTACAAAGTAAATTTTGAATGTCAATTCAACTTGATTTTTCCCCGTCTGTAAATTCAGGGTAAACGCGTTTTCAGAGCGTTCGTAATTTTCCGAGCGATACAGGTTCTCCTTCGCCTCGATTATAACACCATCCGGTCCTTTTACACTATTATCCCAACATCTAATAATTAGCTCGGACTCTTTCACAGAATCCAACTTTTGCAAATTTAATAAGATACTCTCATTCCACGACGCCTTTTTGCTTGATTTATCCGAGGCTAGGGTACTTTTATAAAAGAAAATAATAAATCGATAAAAATTTTATAATTCACAAAATATTAATTAATCATAATCATAATTACACTTTACGAGGAGCTGTGTATTTGTGTTCATTCTCAAACACGAATTCCATTTGCAATTTTGGCTCATTTGCCATTTTAAACTTATTATTAAATTTCGAAAACTTCTTTCCTTGTGATTCATTTGTTAAACGGCTTTATTATTTATAAAGAAAATTATTTAAATTAATATTATTTTATTTTTATTTTGTTTTATTTTGAACTTTCGATTTATTATTTACCATTTTATTTTTTTAATTAAAATCCCTCCCTCATTGTCATTATAAAAATTCATTTTTAATATATAGTAATAATAACTATTATTATTATATTGAGATGTTTTTATTTTTGAAGAACGAAAAAAAAGTGTTTAAATATAAATTCTTAGATGATTGACATGTAACTAAAAATACACATATTACTAAATCGGGCAATTAAACAATGAAACCATTTTTATTGTTTTATTTCTTGATCAAGATTAAAAAATATGTTTTCAGAAAAATAAATAACCATTATAGAATTTCCATTTATAGAAATGTTATCGATATCACAAATTTTTTTCGTCGTTAATCAGTGGAATAACATTCTATATTAATAATCGTTAAAATGATCATAGTAACAGAGTGGATAAATATATTTTTGATTAGGAATAGTTTGACTTTTTTACTTGTTAGCAAAGTTTGTTTGCTTATGGTTTCGAGTGATAATAATTCGAAAATCAATATTTTACGAAATAAATAAATTGACGAAGGCTTGTGGACACTAAGACCTGATTCTTGCTGTCCAAGGCAAAGATTTGATCATTTTACTTGTGCGGCTTTTTAATTGCCCTCCAAATTCCAGAACTTCCTTTTCTTCATCTTCATATATTATTCACCGATGAGACACATGTCTTCATAAGTTCAGAATTCAGCTCTATTGGTTCTATTGGTCATCTATATCCAATTATTATCATGAACACTATCTCATATCAATGTTCTTTCAAAGCTCTTCCAGAAATATAACCTCTCCTGACGCTAGCATTAGTGACTTTTCATCATTATATCTTCCTCTTGGTTGACTTTGAAGGTATCTTAACAAAAATCAAGCAGGTTTAATTCATATTTATCATGAAATAATGTCTGGTCAAACTGGACAATTGTAAACAAGGATATGGTTTGTTTTCAGATGCTGACATATTATTATGCCTTTTAATTTTCAGCCTGTTGTGAAGAATTGCATTTTGACACGAATTTCTTCGTCGTTTCAGAAGGAATATGTTTTTCATACTTTACTATAAACATTTAGCATTGACTCAACCAACACATGGACCTTGCTCCGATTCTGTTAACAAGAATCTTTCCAAAATGGTGATCAATGGATGAACTAGTATTCCTAGATCTTCTACTTTTCCGCCCATTTTTCCCGTCCGCAAATCTCTTTCTTATAAATTTTTATCAAACTCACAGCCTGTTGAGTAAAATCCTTGCTTTTTTGAAATCAGCACGGTGTTTTTGTCAATAATCTTTTTTTCGGTTTTTTCGTTTAACAGTTTGTATTTTAGCGATGACTATAACTATTCTTTTTTTAGAGCTGCATGGGAGGGCTCAGCTCAAGTAAAACTTTAATGTTATTTTTGAATGGAAAATAATAAAGGAAAATCAATGGTGAAAACTAATTTTGTAAAGTTTATGAATTATTACAAAAATGATTGCGTTGTTATACATGGAGGAAGTATTAAACTTATATTTAAACTTAATTTTATTGTTTGTGTTTATTGTTATGTCAATCTTAATTCTTCCTAATTTTTTTAATCATTTATATTTCAATTAATATTAATATCGATGTTCATTTATATACATAATATTATCAATATAAGTAAATACGCGCATCAATCATTCATCATGAAACATTTAATTTGAAATAAAAATAACAAAACATCCAAATAAAATAAATTTTACCAAGACATGTACAAATGGTTAGATTCATTTATAAATATCAATCTTTATTTTCTTCTCTTTTAATTTGTAAGAAAATTTAAATTCATAATGTCAACATCTGTATCTTTATTACTATTGCCACCACCACTGATACTATTATCTTCATTACCATCATCACTGCCGTCATTGCCATTACCACCACTACTACCGCCACCAGCAACAGTAACATCAGCAGCAGCAACACCACCAGCACCATCTGTACCAGCACCACCAACACTAGCACCATCATCACCAGCAGCAGCACTACTACCACCACTTCTATTCACAATGTCCATCATGCTTGCATCACTTTCACTTTGAGATTTTTGATGTTCATTATGTGATGATAAACTGTTATTATTCTCTTGTATGATAATATTTTTTTTTTCAGATTTAAAATTTTCCTCTTTAACGTGATTGTGATCACAATGTTCAATCAAATATCTACCTAGAAATTCACAAGGATTTTGTGGTCTTTTGAGTGATACATATACGTAATATTAATATCATTTTTATGAATTATAGATAACAAAATTGATGTTTAATAAATACATTGATTAACAAGCAATAGAATGTTAAAAAGTTTTTTTTAATTCCTACTTTTCTATAACCAATTTTTTCATTCCAGCAATCAAATTTGAAACCACAGTTTTATTCAAATAATCTCTGACGGCAGTTGATGAATGAGGATGTCTCATATTCAATCTTTGGATTTTATCTCTTTCTTCATCCACCACTTCACCGAATTGCTCATCGAATTTAGAAGGCGAACCAGTAACATCATCTACATTATCGTCGTCATACATTTTTTAAAAAAGTAGTCGAGAATGATCTACACGATCTGCAAAAAGATTTTGATAAAAATGACGATAACAACAACAACAACAAGCAAATCCCACTAGTTATAAAAGAAATTATTATGATCCTGCACTTGATGTACGGCATAGAAAAATATTAAAACTCAAATGTATACATGTATATCGCATGTAATATAAAGCTATAATAACATTTAATGATTAAATTGATTATATCTTCCGATAAACATAATTCAGAAAGGTTTCTCAGAAAGCAATTCAATATATTCATAATTCACAATATGAAGATGGTGGTTGGTTTGGCTCATGGGCAATATGCTTTACATATGCTACCATGTTTGCATTAGAAAGTTTGGCAAGTGCTGGTGAAAATTATGAAAATAGGTATTTTTAAAATATTAGTAAATTGACCTTTCTCTTAGTTTTCAACAAAATTATTCAATTTTTTTTCCTTGACAATAGCATCCATGTGAAAAAAGGTTGCGATTTTTTAATTTCAAAGCAAAAAGATGACGGTGGATGGGGCGAATCTTATAAGGTTTTTGAAGTTTTACAGAAATAAAATGTTTATAAAAAGTTCATAAAATAAATATCATGCATCATTTATTTAAATAGTCCTGCGAACTTGGAGAATATGTCCAACACGAGCAATCACAAGTAGTTAATACTGCTTGGGCAGTACTTGGGTTGATGAAAGGCAAATATCCTGATGAAGCTCCTATACGTCGTGGGGTTGAAGTAAGTTAAAGCGTCAACTTTTTATTTAAAATGGGGTTTTTTTTGTTATCTCTAAAGAATTTCTATTTATATACTGTATGCAAATATACTTTTAGCTTATTATGTCACGACAACTAGAGACAGGTGAATGGAAACAAGAAGCAATAGAAGGAGTATTTAATAAAACTTGTGGTATTAGTTATCCAAATTATAAATTCATATTTACCATATGGGCTCTGGGAAAATATGCACGACTATACAATAATCCAATCATTCAAAAATGAATATCATATTTATGTTCTTTAACTTTTAATATAGATCTATTTTCAAATTTAATATTTTTAATTTAATATTTATTATAAATTAAACTTTTATTATTCTTCCTATAATATTAATCTATAAATTGTTCATTTACAAACAAGATTTATTCCTGCACAACTTTTATACTATACTATAAATAGTTGTGATAAATGGATTTTTTTTAATATATATTGAATTAAAAACCCACTTTCGACAAAGAACAAGCGTTGAACAATTTGCGATTGCATTTATGTATGATTTCAACTGATTTACTCCATTATTCAATACTTCACATATAGGTGTCTGTTTCATTTTTTTTTAGCTTTTTGGACAATATACATATTGCCTTTATAGCAAAGATCCTCCTTTTCGAGTATCCTATCTAATTCTTCCAACTCATTTGTACCAAATTCCTTTATCTGACTTCCAGTAGTATCCCTCATCAGACCAATTAATGAAATATATTTTAGTTCTAAACTAATATCGTTTTATATTAATTCTAATCCATCTTAGCCTTTCCCATTATCATAACGGCCTCATAAAAATGGAGCTTGAAGAAAATCTTGATTTCATTTTTCTTTTTTGCTCCTGATGGCAGGACAATAATCTTGAAGAAAGCCGCCTTTCTTCGACAATTTAGGATAGAATTAACGTCCAGAAACATTTTAATTAAAAGAATCCGAAACTCGACAAAAATCGCGATATTATTTTATTTTTATTTAATTACTTAAAATCCTAAAAATAATAATTTGTATCGGTTTTTAGCTTAGATTATTTAGAATATGAATTCGAAATTTTGTAACTTTGGCTAGCATAAATATTTTAGAAAAATTAGTAATTAAAATCGCATTTATAAAAATCAAAATAAAAAATTTTTTTAATCTTAAAGTGTAAAAATGAAGAGGAAAAATTTTGGGCCTCCGTGAAGGTACCTAAATTGGCATTCACGATTCCCAGATATTAATCCAATTGGAGTGAACTAGAGAGGCGAGCGAACACAATATCAAAAAAAGCCAACGAATTGGAAGCTTACGAAACTTACTACAAATTAATAGAAAGCATGCCTAGAAGGATTGAGGCATACGTTTCTAGGAATGGATGGCCATCTCGATATTAATATTAGTTTATATTTAGTTTTTTTTTATTTGTTCATATTTTTGAATACAAATATTTTGTTGAATTTCGAGTTTCGGATTTTTTTAATAAAACTTTGTTCCTGATGATATTCCTGCCATTATTATGCCAAAGCTATAAATACCTGATTCTTTTGTATATTTCTTGCAAAGTAAAATTTCTGGTGTAAAATATGGCAGGACCCCATAAATCTTGGTGTCTGACTAGTTTTATCTTTGTATGATTTTGTTAATCCAAAATCTGTCAGATAACTGATTATCCCCCCCGTAGTTTGGTGAATGCTATAAAATATTTCCCGCATGTAAACCTTTATGTACGAAACCTTTAGCATGTAATATGCCAAGATCTGTGGCTATATTTTCCAAGTAATTTAATTTTTCTGTCCATTTAAGTCTTTTAAAATTATTCTCCTCATCAGCATAATCATCAACTACCTTTATAATATTCTCATGGTCCAATATTTTCAAAATATCAATTTCATTTCTATATTTAATTATTCTATTTTTGTCAAATTTTCCATCACTGACATTGATAATTTTATCAGCATAAATGCTATCATCATAACAATTATTTGATCTAATTTTTTAACAATGCATGATTTGCCAATTTTCGTTATGGCTGTTACTATCATCTTCATTATTTACGACGTGATATCTTTCTCCTGATTAAGCAGGTAAACGATCCTTTACTTCTCTAAATCGATTTTGGCATTTTCAAAAAACTGTACTTTTGTATAAATATAATCAAATAAATAAAATATTAGCCAAATATATAAACATAAACATATATGTAAATTAAGTGATTTATACTACTTGCCAATAAAACCCTCTCTAGTCTTGATTAAAATTTTATCATCATGATTTAAAACATGTTCTTGATTTGGTTCCAAGTGTCTATTATTAATGAGAGTTCTTTTGTTCCAACCATTTTTTATAATCGTTCCAAAGCCCAATTCCTTAATATAGTGCATATTGTTTGTTTTTCTCTAACAGATAATAATGATCATAATAAAATTATTTTATATATTATGCTGATGATTTAGGTGACTGTCGCTTC